TGGCTGACATCTGTAGCTCTTCCAGCTCTGTTTTCTGTTTTTGACAGCAGCACTAAGGGGAAATATATGAACCACTCTTGACATTTCTTAAACCTGCATTGAAACTATACCTCTAGCTGGAATAAAGTAAAAGCTGGTCATCAATCATCCAATGTTTATTTACTGAGCACCTATTAGGGGCCAAACATCATATTCCATTAACCAGAAACCTCTATTAACTGGCACCTGTGCTTACTGATAAAATTGATGCCCGTAATAGCCTAAAGCAAGGGTCTACAAAGAGCCCACAGGCTAAATCTGGTCTGCTGCCTGTTTTTGCAAATAAAATTTTACTAAATACTGCCACACCCATCCACTTATGGATTATCTATGGCTCTTTGGGGGCTACAAGGGCAGAGTTGAGTAGTTACAACAGAGACCATTATGGCTCACTGAGCCTGGATTATTTACTATGTGGCCTTAATAGATTGCTGACCATCATAAAATATCAATATGCCACTGGACTCTCAAAAACATATTTTTTAGCAGTAGTGACACATAACAGGCAATAGTTTCCTTAATCCTTTGAAAATTACCAGTCCAGTATCATATATGTGGTACCACTATTCCTTGCATCACATGCCCATAACCAATCATGCCAGAAAACAGCATCAACTGATAAAAATCTGTGTTTCCCACAAGTCATATAACCTTGGGGATCTTTAATCCCAACTTCTCCCAAAATTAAGTTTCTGACTGAACAATCTCATTATTTTTAGAGTAAGTCCTCACACAGAAAACCATTCACTTACTTGACAAGTTACTTCTCTTAACAGATCTCTAGTCCAGTGTATATCTTGAGGTTTCCTACTTGCAATAATTCAAACATAATAGAAACCAGTTTTACTCCTGATGATGCTCAGTATTTTGTGGGGGTTTTTTTGGCTGCACACTATCCTGAATTATCACCTTCAGGGAAAAATGCAGACTCGAGATTTCTTCCCTGAGTGGAATCAAACAGCCCACATATACAAAGAAATACTTTACTAATTTAAATCCAATTACAATATGTTCTCAAAACATTTCTTTAAAAATATACAACTCACAAGCTTTACAATTAGAAATAATTACAGAATGTCAGAAGAGATAAGACTTAAGAGATGACTAAATCCAAATATCTCAATTTACAGATGAGAAAAATGAGGCTTACATGATTTACCGGAAGGACCAACTAGTTTTCATTAATTCATGCTGGCCTTAAATCAGGAAGTTATACTGATGTCTTATCTGTAAGCCAGGCACTGTGCTGGGGTCCAGGGCTACATATGTATCTTCACCGACAATGAATTCAATTAATCTTTTATCAGCGAGATTTTTTTGCAGTGAGACAGATTACATCACAGAGAATCAGATAAAATTCCTTAATAACTGCTAGACATCTTTTTGCTTTTCCTACAAAGAAAGCTCTCTTCCTGCAGAGACAGTCCAGTGGAGCCAGGCCGCACAATTCAGAATCTTGATGTTGCCCCTTTCTGGCTATGTAACCTCACAGCAATTTACTTAACAGCTCTGTGTTTGTTTCCTGATCTTTAAGGGGATAATCACAGTATGTAAACAATCCTTATGTGGCTGGTACAGGTAAGTGCTCTATAAATTTTAAGTATCGTTGTTGTTATTTTCCTTAGGTAGTTTTCTTATCAAAACATGGTTAAGTAACCAAGGTATGGAGAAAGTGCCCTCAAAAACAGCTATTGAAATACATGTAATTACCATCACTGTAGTAAAGTTTGATTAAATATAAAGGGTAAAGAGGAAAAAACAGTTCTTAAAAGGTCCATTTATAAGTTAAATCCTACTTAAAACACATGCACAAGAAATTTTGCCTTTTAGGGACTTCCCTGGTGGTCCAGTGGTTACGAATCCACCTTCCAATGCAGGGGACACAGGTTTGATCCCTGGTCAGAACTAAGATCCCACATGCAGTGGGGCAACTAAGCCAGCGCACCACAACTACTGAGCCCGCGCGCTCCAGAGCCCACAAGCCCTCGCGCCACAGCGAAAGACCCTACGTGCCACAACTAAGACCCAATGCAGCCAAATGAATAAATAAATATTTTAAAAAAAAGATTTTCCTTTTAATATTACAAACAAACAAGTTCATTCGCAAAATCTTTCATGAAACAATGGTTAAATGCTAATGCCATAGTGTTTCTGGGTTTCACTAGGGGTCAGGCCCGGGTAGAGTAAATGACTGCTTCAACACAAATGCCATGGCAACAGACGTGTCCCTCATTAAGCTACATCCTAGAATCCAACAAATATTTGGATTTTACTTTAAAATAATCATTAGTATTTTTACTCAAAGATGGCCTTTTAAAAAAAGTTATGCAGTAGGAAGAGTACGTGGCACTTCCTCCCTCGAAGGGACTTCTATCAAGTTGGAAAACCACGCCAGAGTCACAGAAGGCAGGGTCTTTACAGCTGTGTGACCTCGGAAAACTCACTGAACAGGTCTCCAAGATTCAGCACCTCATCTATAATTGGTGTTAACATCTATCTCCCAGGTTTTGGGGGGGATGGGGAAAGGGGGACAGAGGAGGCAAACTAAGATTCGTATGAAAATGCTTTGAGGATGGCTAACACACATGCACACATTGCTAGTTCTGACCCCTTTCACCCACAGGCAGTGGGAAGGGAGGCCGTGTAGCAAGGTAAAGTTAAACTGCAATTTGTGTTTGGGGTACTTAAGCCTTGATCAATGTTCCTATTCTATACAGTTGTTGGAAATGTAAAACCTTGTTATAGTCTCAGATTTGGTTTTTTAAATATGAGACTCCAGAGATCACCGTAATTCATGAAAGACATATTAGGGCCAAGCATCCTCCTGCCTAGCACCTTCAAACTCATAACAAAGAAAACCACAATCCCTATTTCTCTATTTCTCCCCTCTACCAGCATAAACTGAATGCGGCCGTAATATGTGATGGTAAAATGTCTTTAAGAAATCTTCAGAGGTATTCTAGAAAATTAACCCTATTTATGTAATCAGTATAAAAATCTGTTATCAGCTTTTTCCAAAGCTGAAAAGGACTTTGATGAAAATCCCAATAGTAACAGTACTCAAAAATTTTTTTTAATTTTAAGCTTGTATAACTTGATACTAGATGGAGCTTTATGAACTATTAAGCTCATATAAGGGACTTCCCTGGTGGTCCAGTGGTTAAGACTCTGCACTTCCACTGCAAGGGGCACACGTCTGATCCCCGGTTGGGGAATTAAGATCCTGCGTGCTGCATGGTGTGGCCAAAAAATAAAATAAATTAAAAAAAAAAAAAAGCATATATAAAAGGAAATTTAGGGCTTCCCTGGTGGCGCAGTGGTTGAGAGTCCGCCTGCCGATGCAGGGGACACGAGTTCGTGCCCCGGTCTGGGAAGATCCCACATGCCGCAGAGCGGCT